TATATATCGAGTAATTGCTGCCTGTGACGTAAAACGTATAGTACATACATATGAGATATTTCTTTGATGAAATATTGTGCATACAAGAATTTAGTTTGGTGGTGGATTAAATACCCGTAACTTTTGTTCATCAACACATTTATACGATTCTTATTATTTATGAAGTAGTAATGATTCTATATAGTGTCGATACAATACCCATATTAACAGACAATTGTAATTATCTGAATATGAGTTTTTCGTATTTTTCGAGACAATTCATGTGGCATAAAATATTTGTAAGTGAAGGTGGGTGATCTATTCAATGTGTTCCTTAACTTGCCGTCAATATCAAATTGTCATTAAACAAAATATATAATTTCCAGTTCCATAATTATCTGAAATGTGCATTTTAGCTGACAACTAAGGCGAGTGTGAGATTGAAAACTGTATATTATCGGTGATTGGTGTTAATGCTTGTGTATTCATTTTTTTTTAAATTCCAGGTATTGGTCACTATTTATTAATTTTTGAAATGTGCTGCATCTTTTTCTGGGCGAGGAATTTGTACAGAACAAGGAAATGTAATATTGAGACGTTGCTAGTTACCGAAGATTCCGAACCGTCCAAATATCGCTCGTTCGGAGACGAAAGTGATTGCGATGACCTGCATGAACTGGTCGGTGAACGAAAACTTGACTGAGTCATAACCCGTCTGACGTTAAATTATTTAAAACACCCCTATACTGTTGAACAGTAATATTTTTATATTCATATATTATTATAAATTTGTATCAACATATTTTTTTAACAAAATATTTACCCAGATGAAAAAAAAATGCTTTCTGTTTTAATTTTGGCATGAACTTTTATAGAGTGCTGTATTTACAATCGGGCAATGTTATTTATTAACTTGAGTTGTTGTTATTTTTTCAGAAGAAAAATAGTTTATTACGTGAAGACTGTTCGGCCTTAGGCTCAAAATTAAACTATTACTGTTACTAATTTTGACTGATTTTCAAAATTCAAATTACTGTGAAATCTACACAATAACTATTTATTCTGTCAAGTATGATATATGCAATATATATATAGAATGGTACAGTTGTGTGCTTGCGTATTATTTGGGGGGGGGTCTTTCCTCGTCGTCATTGTTGTGGTCGTCGTCGTCTCTGGTACCGTAAACTACTAGTATTTCTTGTGGGTACAAATAACTCAAACAGTTTGTGTCTGATCTTTTTTCAAACCTCGATATTTCTTGAAAATTTTATTGAATTATTTTGAGCCAATGTTTTCTTATTTTTATCAAATTAGGTAATGATACATTATTTCTTATTTTTATCAAATTAGGTAATTATACTTTATTTCTTATTTCTATCAAATTAAGTAATGATACTTTATCTCAATGTTGTCTTCAACTAATAAAATATAGATTTCATTAAACTTCAATAAATGTGTATGTACTCGCCCTAATTTATTTTGTGTACGCTATTCCTTAGTTAGATGACTGATAAACATTCCATCCACAAATACAATGACCAAAATTTGTCGAAATTACGTCATATTGTGAGGAATGTGACGCACCAGATATTTGTTGACGCGATGCTGCGTGCAGTGATGACGTCATTATGGCGATATTGAAAACATCTTAAATCTTATACTAGTAGTTGATAAGGTGACAAAGGAAACAAAGTTGACGACTTCAATTATTTTGATTTTCATTTGTATTTTTTTTAATTATATGTTGATGAGTTTACATCTATCAATGTTTGCCGCTAACAAGAAACTACCCGCATAAACCTAGCAACGCCGAAATACAGTAGTACAATATAATGGCAGTAAACAAACGCCGGGGGCGGTATAACATTAGTTTAATTTCATAGGTTCCTATTGTATTTAGTGAAACGGTATCTCTCTTGTATATTTGGGTGTTTTCGTTCCCACCATAGAGGGCAGTAGTACTATGAAATAAAAAAAAAATCCGGTAAATAATTAAAAAACACTTAATATGCGTCACTATAAGTACTCTTAGAATACACGTACATATATTTCTTGATCGAGGATGAAATTAGTTTATTCATCTACGTCCTAATTTAGTATTCAAACGGTATTTCCTATGTAGCTCCATTTAATTTTCGAAAAAATACTATTTTATAACTAATGTCAAAATATTCCCACCTTTTTGTGCATTCAGATAGATGTTCATGTTGCAAAGACAAGAAGGCAAAAAAACGACATTCAAAATATTGACCAGTATTTTATATATGTTCACAAATACAATCCAGACGGACTACCTAAATACAGGGCGGTCCAGTGACTAACGCCACCCATCTACTATGAAGTATGCCATACAATCAACGGGAACCTCTCTTAGACATGGCCAAACCAGTGAGTAACGCCATCTACCCAAAGTTATAGAAACGAGAGTTTGATAGAGAATTTAAAGATTTTTAAAAAAGAAAAAGCCAGACACTACTCTACAGTTTCAAAAATACATAATTTATAAAATTATTCAGTAAAATAAACTAATTCAGACATTGCCTAAAAATAAACGTGGGAATCGCGATGATTATCAAATTTACCTAGTGATGAAAGCACCTATTAGTAGTCTAGATGGACCACACGAAGACGTGGCCAATCCAGTGACTAATGCAATTTACTCAGTGGGGAAAATCATGCAATCCACATTGATCTGGTAAATCAAGATAATAACAAGCTTCAAAGGGGAGGAGGAAGAGGAACTACTTATGGGGGGGTCATATAAGTGGTTAACTCAAAGGGACGCAAATTCCACCATTGAATTATTTTTTAGTAGCTTCGTCCAAACAAACAGTACTTTAGAGCCATGTTATTGCAGTCTGGGTGAATACACTTGGTAGTGCAAGTGATTTCCGCTGGTTGCTTGAATGGAAAACACAGCGATTTGGCTCCAATAGTCGGCGCGCCAGGTTCTAAATGATCCTGACCCCTGCAACGTAAGAAGAAATATCACTATTTGATGGTTGACCGTGAATTATCATGGCTGACCATCAAATATAACCGTCCTGCCATGGTCAGAGACACCTACTGATAGTTTTGTTTCTGACCATGGTGACCATAGGATACACAGTCATATTTCATACTGTTCTCATTAATTGTCACAGCCTAATAGAAGACAATATTGTATACACAACAAATGTAAGTATCATGTTAAAACATAAATAATATAATACTGCTGTCGTCACTACCTAGAATATAATATGATCAGTTGGACGATGTGTATGATAAATCCAATAATCTTTGATGTATAAGTGTATGCGGTAATGACATATCATGCTACACATCTTTCATGTAATCAGTACCATTGCATTTAAACCAACAATCCTAAAATATATAATTTAAACAATTATCAATCAAATGCCATTTATTTGCTTCATCATTGTGGGGAATGTATTCTGTATTTGAAATATTACTTTCACAGTCAACGTTTTGATAATTATTGTACTCGTTATTATCAACAATAATAGGCCTGGAAATCTACAATTAAATATATAATATGGACGATGGTGTGTTATTTTTAATAATGTTGTTGGATACTTTATTTAAATGAATTTATTGAACTATGATTTACCTGACTTCAACACGTTGTTTTTGTAGGAAACATCTATGTATTCGTTTCATGACGCAATGAAATTCTTTACGCATGCGCAGCGGTTGTTTTAGTACGTACATTAACAATCAATGACATGCGTATTAGTGTTTTTCACTATCTAACGAATACTACTATGTGTCGTAAGAACGCAATAATTTTAGTTAATGATAAATCATAATTCTATCGAACAACAATATTAAAAATTATATTTTTTCGTCCAGATTGCATTTTTAATTTTGTTGTTGCAATTAGGTCTTCTCTTACTTACTCACTTAACCTGAATTATTATTCCTTATTTGAGATTTATCCGTAGTTTTATGTATTTTGTTTAAATACCAATTTTGAATAACAGTATTATTTATAATATTATATAATGAGAAAATACCTCTTTGTAGTCTGGTTGTATTAAATATTATACATCTAATGCTGTCAACAATTTCGAATCCCTATATACAAAAAGCTGGCTACGCGGCTTGCTAATGTATAAAGAGGAACAAAAATATGTAAGGTCCTCTGTTGGATTGTGTGTAAAGTATAGATGTTTTTTTGTAATTGTACATCTATCAACGTCACCACCAGCTACAGCGTTTCATAATGCATTGCACATGGTATCTTCGTACGTTCAACCTTGCTATTATTATTGTGTTCTGCTGTTGGCATCCTACACCAAGTTCACTCGCACGATTCAAGTAATGATACGGTTATTGTGTATAATAAATTAATGATATTATAATATAACATTATTACGAGGATACCACAAAGTGAACAATCAGTGATCTCCGATACTCAATACTGTCTTCTTCCAATTTTGTATTATAACATATTAATTTGTGTAAGAGCATCTTACCTCCCACTCTCCTCCGTGATCTTTTCGTCACATGCGATTTCTCCACAGAATGGAGACATGATGATCTGAAACAAAGTTAAATAATTTTTTATTGATTTTAAAGATAACAATCACTATTTGAAGGGCGGCGGTCGTCGCGCCGCAACCTGTTCGGTATGATATTGATAGCGACGTACACAACGCGTGTAAAAGATATTGTTTGTTTACATGAATTTCGAACACGCGCTGCGCTACGACCACTGCCCTTTAATGAGACCATAATTTCCAATTTACATTTACAGAGATCAAACACTTTCTCAACAGCTGCATAGATGGAGATAACTATAAACCCTTTTACACTTCGATTTCACTGGTGTATATTTGATATCTGAATGCAAAAATGAATTATATACACACTGTGCCTATGAATATTAATTTCCAACTTACATTCTTCTTGTCCAATAGTGTGCAGAATTCATTCCAATCTTTAGTGTCTTTAACATGGTTGTTTAGATCAGCATTGGCTCTGCAAATACTGTAACAAAAACGTGCATAGAGCCAATGTAATATTGAAAACGATGTGTGAAGGTTGATAAACAGGAAATGGAAACTTATCAGGAAAGGGGAGTATAAACTGTATGATTTATTGTGATCAGAATTGATAACATGAATATTGAACTTTATCATAGGAATTCCTGTAATATTAACAATAGATAAATTACTCTAAATAATATCTTTGTCAAATTCAGTGACACTCAATTACGTCGACCACAATCATTCTTCTACCCTTCCTCAATCAAAGTCTTGTAAATCAATCAAACTAGGTACAAATTATACTTACTTGTCATAGAGAGAACTCTGAATGTTGTCCAACAATTACCGTATTTGGTCAGCAGCGCCATCCTCGGGAAATGTGGACCTCTCTCCAGAATCACGACGAACAGCTGCAAACTGTTTATTTTTCATTTCCTGTGGTCCAACCTCAATACGTAACGGCACACCCTGATAAAGAACAACGTTGGTATGAGTTATATTTTGTTTATTTTCACAGAATAAACTGATCATTATATATTATTCAAATAGAGCACCTGATTACACACGTCCTTAGATCTTTCTTACCTCTTAGACCACGAGAGGCATTCACAAAACCATAAAGCTGTCGAAGATGTACGCCAACGAATGACGGGTGTTTGACGACTTAGTGATAAAATCACAGTCCACAATACTAAATAGGTATTATAACGCTAAAATACAGTTTCAGTAAATGCCATGTAACTCTCACTTTGGGAAGCCATTTCTAGTAGATTTCAGAAGAAGTATAATGAACATTCTCACCTTCAACTCCCAATAGTTGAATTTCCATCCAGGTGAATAGTTATCCCGATAGTCTCCTTTGCATTTCATTCCAGTCGATTTGAGTAGTTTGGCGTAATCCTGACATTTATCAAGAAGAGCATTCTTATCCACATCTGACATGTCGACAGTGACGCCACAAGGTACAATTACAATCTGTATTGAACAGAAATTATTATGAATTTTACAAATGACATGAGAAACTTCACTTGATTTTGTTATGAAGGAGTCTGTGAAGTTATAATGACACACCAATATTTTGTGACATAACCTTTGACAGTCGCCAGTAATAACCCTGGTCATCACCATGTATCATGCATAGTACACCAATAGTACGTGTGGTTAAACCTCTGCTCTTACCTGTATAGC